ATTTTTTTTTGTGGGGGGGGGGAGGCATGTTATCTTTAAAGGAATACAAGTTTCTAAAAATCTCAGCAATTACTGTAGGTTTTTTTTTTTTATTGCATAAATCATTGTAAAAGTATCTTTATAAATACTAAATTTCACAGCATTTTTTATCAACAACCATGCTGATATTCCTTTGTTTGTAAATAAAGCTCCTGCTACTATGCTGTCGACAACATAACAAACCAATATATTGATCTTACTATACTACTGGCATGCGTGACTTTCTGCTTTTGCGCATTTTAACTGCGTCAGCAACACACTTTTAAATGAATACAAAAAACGTAAACAATGTAGTTTTAGAGATTGTTTATCAACATCAACGGTCTATTTTTATGAGAAAATTATACCAAATAATGCATTTAAAATGTATGTAGTGTATTCAATATGTTCTAAGGTACAATAATTACAATTCTTCATTCGAATACCGAAGTAGTATTTAGTAATGCCTCTGACTGGATTTAGCTGGTTGGCAAGTTTGGCAAACTGCCAACGATACAGTATACAAAGCCCCTCCCTCATAGCTGCTGCATAATTCAGTGTGCTTTAATTTCCATCAATGGAAGTGAGTGCGAACGTGGAATATTCAAGCCATTTCCTATCAAAGTATTGTGCTGTCTTTTGCATTCATATTTAAGCCGCTGCAAATGTTGAATAAATATCTTGGAAAACACTGTTTAATCTAATCTAGGGGTATTTTATTACCCCTCTCAGGGGAACCAGGAACCAGTCACGAGAACCAAGATCCCCAAAGCAGCATGCCAACATGAATTGCCTTCTTTACTAATGGTGTTAATGTTTATATTTTGCCACAGTACACTAGATACAAAGTTCACTTTGTACACATATTTGCCATATGTTGGCATTGTTTTTTTATGGCAATATTCAGAAGCTACAACTAATGTGTTACCTAGTTATCTAAAATGATATTCATTTGCAAATGATTTATTTTTGTGACATGTTTGTTACACATACCTTTTGTGCCAAAAACCATTTATCTAAAGTAGACGCATGTTATATCACCAAGTTGAATGGTATACAAACCGTTACTGTACTGTAATATTGTAGAGTGATAAATGAACCATAATATTTTTTTTTAATTATCAAGTAAGTCATTAACATTATGTTTTTACAACATTTAATCCATATTTTTAATATAGTTCCTTGTTAAATCTGAATTCTAAATGAGGAAAGCCAATTTATTGAATTAGTCTAGTTCTAAAAATAAGGTTTCTGTTTTGTTTCACAACATTAATATTTATTGTATTTTTTTTTTCTTTAAATGGGCAGAGTGAAAAACTTTTATGTGGTATAAAATTATTAAAGTGAGCAGGTTATTTGGGATGACTCTAAAATGTGTTCGTTTATATAGTACAATATGTGCGAAATTAACAGGCGCCCTCTTGGTAAACACTTATTACAACAACCCCTTATCTGGAATGTATGTACTTAAGTTTTCACATGTACAGTAATGCTAATATGTACACTATAATCAACCCTTAGGAAAACACAGGATATAACTCGCGATAAGGGAATAATAGATAGAGGAAGTACTTGAACAAGATTCATTCATGGTTTATGCCACGTGTTAGCTAGCGAATGTGTTTGTTTTGTTGTGCGTAGTCAAGGAAAATTAGTAGCAGTATCTAACTATGGCGAGACTTCTTTTATATTGTGTGGCAAATTTAATTTTGAAAAGAAAAAAAATATTCCTGATTAGCAAAAGTACCTAACTGAATCACTTAGGCAGGAGAAAATAAAAATATTTTATTAGAGAATTAAAAAAAAAAAAAAAATCGCCAGATAACCTACACTCACAAAGCATTCTTGTGTAAAGAACGCTATTTGGTGATTCAAACTGAAATACTTTATTTTCATCAAATTTGAAGAAATATTTGTCAAGAAATATCATAGGCGCCTTAAGCAAATAAATATTTTTCAATACATCTTTTCATTGATTTTTAATGGCAACAGGTGCAATAAAAGGCCCCGAGTCCACCCTAAATTTTCTCGAATTAAGAGGCCGAACTATATTCGAAATAATTGTTATCTTTAAGTGAGGCTACGGTACCTTATGACTAGAGTACATAATGACTCAGCTATTTATCAATCGTGTCAAGCCTCGTGAATATGCGTGTACAAGTGGTAAGAAAAGGTCTGTATGCTGTGTTAACTGAGGGCGCTGTTCAAAACCCACCATTTTTACTAAATTAGTAACCCCATCCTATTGGGTAGCAGCATATATGTAGTACCGATATAAGCCTAATTACAAGACATGCTTCCTGTCTAGATTTCTTCACTGATATTTTCTTTCTTCACTATCGTTATTGTTTTTGTTTATTAGTGTGTATAATTTCTGACATATTTAAGTGGAAACTAATTAATACAAATCTCCCTCTAATGAAAGACCCTCAAATTAAAAAGTGGTGTTTTATTGAAAGGAGACCACTAATGGAAATTAGTATAGCATGCAGTACAGTGCAAAAGTAGTTTTTCTTTTTAATCGCACAATAGATGGAAGCAGACCTACAACCATTCACGCCTGTCTTCGTAATCACAACAATGCCATCAGCTTCCGGATAGACTCCTCCATGGATAGACTAAGGTGTGTACTACCTGAAATATGCCTCTTTGCATTATTACTTTCCAGTTGAAAATTCAGTAATACACGTGATGTGTGGAGAGAATAATCACGCATTCAACCCTGCCTTACCAGTTAATTCTAATTTGCATTTTCAATAGTCTGGCTCATATCAGGGATAATCTCAATTTTCTAATGACATTATTTAGCATTTCAACTCATCTAGATAATAGAAAGGAAAGTAGCTAGAAAAGACAAAATCAAATTTTGGACACAAAATTGAGATTTCTATAATATATTCTTATGCAATATATATATATAATACAATATTATGTAATTGATCAAATTGACAGAATTTTTAAGACCATCCCTCAACTGACATGTGATTACTATTGGCCATAAAGTGGTTTTGTCCTCATCACAACAGACACTACTCTGTTTATGTTTGTGTATGAATGGATAGATAGCAGAATTTGTGTGTCCAAATATCTACACTACAATTTTGGCTTGAGTAAAGCTGTTTCTTTCTTGGGGGTGGAAAGAATTAATTATTAATTAATTATTATGGATTAATTATTAATTATTAATTAATTCCATAATTGCAATGAAATTTAATTTAATCAGAACATGAACTGTATCGTATTTGCATAATATACAGTAGTTTAATCAGATTTTCTTTGAAATTGAGAAGCAGATTAATTAAAACAAATCTTGAAAGCGATATTAATGAAAGTGTTCTTCTGTACTTATTTTTATTTACATATCTTCAGAAATTTTGTAGTGTGGTTTTTACTTACATAACTGAAATGACTTGCATAAAACTTGAAACTAGTAGTCATTCTGCAAACATATTTGTATTTCTATTTTTTGTTATCAAACAAAGCATAATCATGTTAAAAAATATCTGCATTTTTACTAATAGTTTTGACAACTAAAATTTATGGCATCTATAGTATCTTTGAACCCTGTGATGGTGAAATAGGAAATCTCTACATTGGCGCATTCCAGAAATACCAATGTTTGTACTTACAAGGCATAGTGAGAAGCTTCTGAACAACCAGGAACCAGAATAAACCAATGATCACACTACATATGCCTACCTACACTTCATAAACTTTCCTTTTATAATTCTTGTTGGATTCATTAAAAAAAACTTATCTGGGTTCTTGGAAATGTATTTATAATGTAATGAATGTACATCATATTATAATGCATGCATTTAGCAACAAATTAGTCACCCGTTTGGCACAACCTGAATTTTAAAGAAAGAAAAAAAAAAAAAAACCAAACTAAGACCTAGGCTAGACATAATTACATAGTTCATGAACTTTATCAGAAATCAGAGCGATTCTCATCAGGATACCGGAAGGCCAGGGAAAGAGATGAGAACTTTTAAGATAGGAAATTAGTTTGAAGGACGGAAAGGATAAAAAGGGAGTATGCACTCGCACAATAGAATGTCTGGATCTGCCCTCCAACACTTACTACTGCTGAAGTATTCCATTAAAAAAAAATTGAAAATAATAATAAAGACCAACCAAAACAAATTTATTGTAAAAAAAAAACAAATAATAACAGTACTAGGCCTAATTAGATTTGGCTGATAATTAGAACCCTAAGATGACGTTGGTTGTCATTTAAGGCAACCTAGACTAGGCTGAAACATTCTAGGCCTTGAGTGCATGGAAGACTATGAATATAGAGGATATGATAGTACAGTAAGTTAAGAAAAGCATGCAGATTATCGAATGATCAGTGCATGCCCAACAAGGAGGCTAGAGAAGCTAGGTAGTCACGATAAATTATGAATAAAACGAACATCAATTCCGACCGTACTTTTTTTGTTATAGGCCTACCTCAGTTGTTGGTATGAAAAGACATAACTTTTTATTTATATAATACAATAGACAGGGGATAAGCAAGCTAAAGTAAAGTTAGAGCACACTGAGTGAGAAGAGAGGTAAATCTGCGACGTGCAACAACCACGCTGGGCGTTCATTCACAAGAACAAAGATATCCGGCCATATTTCTTAGCTGTTCATTCATACAGTTAAACCGATCACGATAGAATTTGTGAAGCAGCAAATCTCGTCTTTAGTTCGTTAATAACTAAAAATATATAAACACTATATCATTTCATCTAAAGTAAACAAAATGGTATGAATTAGATGAACAATCAATAAATTGCATCGCTATCAATAGTAAAACACTGAACAGTAGTAAATAAACGGCGCCAAAAAACGGCATCGTACTCGTCGTACGCATCCCATTCATCTCTTCCTCGTGGCTGAATATTAGAGTAGCCGATGCTCGGGATTTAATTAACCAGTTTATATCTAATAGTTTTAATTACTATTTTAATAATAAAAACAATGATACTTACAGGTATAGCAGGTGCTTCCGCGTCTGATTTGCTCATTTTTATAGAGGATCAGAAAATAATGTACTAAATTATTAAATACTTTGTTGTCCTTTGATACAAAACAGTACTTCTCCGAAAGAGGTTGTATATGGGTATGGTCTCGACGGTCTTTCGCGGGAATACGTAAATATTATTCAGCCAATCTATAATTGGTCTAGCCCATTTTATACCAAGGGGAATCGTATCTAATGTTGATTTCTTTTTCGCTATATTTTTATCTACTGAATAGTGATTAACGTTTAGATAAAATTCAACAAATTAGAAAAATAAAAATTCTTGCAAATTAAATTTATTCGTTACAAATAATTTTACAACATCAATTCTATTCATTGTGATTGTGCGTTAACCAAGTTGGACCTCAAAATGTGGAAGATCTTAATTAATTAAACCAATGCGTTTCTAGCTAGCTAGTTCTCTCTATCAACACTGGATAGTTGATAAATTTCCCGATAAATATGTCCGAATATATAATACCATCACAATTATTTATCAATGTTTTAAACGGCCAATATTCATGTGTAGTTTTTCCATCATTATAATAGGCCTACAATGACTAAAACAGCAAGCAGTCGGTACGGTATACGTACGTAGTCAATGAATACCAAAATGTAAACAAACGCCGAACTGGTTCTCACGGCGTACAATGCTTCCGAATGGCGCGGAGGGATACCGTAATGTAAATATTTACGTTCACAAAATACTACTGCCATGTCATTGTTTTATCACTCAGTTGACTACAGTAATATAATTCTTCTTATTTCTCATTTTATCCTTTTACGTTTTAATTGAACCATTCGTATCATTAATTAAGAATACACCTTTGAAGGACCCCTCAAACACAAAAATATTATAACATACGGACGCGAACGTTTAACTGTTTTAAGTATGCTATGTCAGAATATAAATAACGTTCAAATCAACATTTTGACTTACAGGTGTTTTTTTTTTTTTTTTTTTTTTTACATAATTTGTGTTTTTTTTTTTTTTTTCTTTTACATAATCTATGTGAAACTGTGACTGCCTACCATATGCGATTCCTTTGCTGTATAGTGAAAAATAATCTTATTTGTATAGTTTCGTGTGAGTTTTCAAAATAGGAGACATTATGAGTTTAAAATAAATTGCCAAATTTGCTCAATCAGTGGCTAATTCAAGGGGGCCTAGACGGCCCGCCCAATCCCCCTTTCCCCCCCAAAAAAGTACATTCACTCAATCATTCATCATTAGTTCATTCATTCATTCATTCATTCATTCATTCATTCATTCATTCATTCATTCATTCATTCATTCATTCATTCATTCATTCATTTATTTATTCATTTAATTCGTTCGTTCATTTTTTTGTTCATTCATTCACATTGGGGATCTTGTGGCGAGGGGAAAAGGGGTCCTGGGGTGGGGACGGGGGCGATGCCGCAATGAGGGGAAAATTTCCCTGACGAGAGCAAAGTGGGCGTGGTCGAGCGTCGCTTAAAATGTACCGAAAGTGGTATCTAGGGGGCGAAGCCCCCGAAAATGTTTTGTTGAAAGGATTATTTAATCGATTTTAGAGTCTACATATGATTTTTTTTTATCCCCAACGAATTATGGTTTTTCTCCAGACGAATTATGTTTTTTCTCCCCGACGACCGTGGAGGGAGGGGGGCGCTATCCCCGAAAAGGGGACTTCCCCTCCCCCGGTCGCTCCACCCTGTTTCCTACTGCTAAAACTGCATTACGATGTTCGGAACTTTGTATACAACTTTACTTATCCTTAAATTTGTAAGGCTGTTGTATTTATCGCATACAGCTTAGTATTCTTATTGTCTTGTAAGTTGCTGAATCAACATTGTTTAAACTCGAAACTGAATTTTGCGTGCTTTTGCATCTGCAAGTAAGTTTATAACATGATCAAAGTTAGCAATGTTGTCTACTTCATCGCGCTCAATACTAAGGACTACCAAAGCAGATAGACTCACTTGTCCCATCGTGGCTCTGAGATTATGGCAGGATGAGATGAGCTTTAGTCATGTAGTCATTACAGAATAGGATAAAAAAAAAAAGAGATAATTGAAAACGGTCGAAATGGACTGAAAAGAAATCACAATTTATAAATTTGCCAATAAAAACAACTAGGCCTACATTCAGATTTGTAATTATTACCTGGAAAATATTCATGCCTGACGACACACATCAATTTCGTCATGCTTTTCTAAAAATGGTTATTTCCTTTACTCTCGTTCTTCC